CATGTCTCTCGAATGGTGACCTCGGCTCAAGTTGTATTCCAGTTCTCGTGCTTCATCCCACGATATTCCTTCTGATCTTCGAAGCCGTAGAAGAGCTGGAAAGAAGCGGTTAAGAAGTGCGTCAAGAGACAATGACATAAAGAGCGGAATAAAGGATCCAGCGCTCTCCTCGTCCCTGTCTTTTAGCATTACTGGATCTTCCGCTCCTGTAAACATATGCTTCATGGATTTATAACTTGGCCGCGGACTGCTGCATTTGCCAAGTCTGAAGGTCATCCGAGACTGGTCGGGAGAAAGACGCTGGAAATCTAATGCCTGAGGATAAGTAGATGGCAGCTTGCAAAGCATGACAATGTATTCTGTCGGCTCAATACCCCAAGCCTCCAGGGCATCTTCAGGGATCCCAAGTTTGGATACTCGAATAGAGAGCGAGAAGATGCCGAAAGACGACTGGCGTATTTCTTCAGGGGGGATGGAGATGCAGAACCCCTCTCGTTTGGCTTCTCGCAAGTGACGCTTCAAACGTATCATTGATTCTGGATCATCGGCTTCAGTGGCGTGCTCCGCGGCAGATGCGCTAGGTAGTAATGGATCGATATCTATCTCATCGAACTCGGCTTCATAGAAGGAGTCATCGTCATCGGAGAGTAGATCATCATCTGATTCTTCGCCGTAATAGGGTGTCTGTGAAGTTGGCTCTTCGGAAGTGCTCAGCTTTTTAGCTAGCATCCCAGATATCAATGTGATGGCATCAGTGATAGTAATGCCATCGGTCAAGCTAGAGGTCTCTTCCAGCCACTTCTCTAAGTCTTTTGGTGTTTCTGAGGAAGTGAAGATCATGAAGCCCGGGTGTTTTGGGTACGAGTCTGCATCCTTTGAGAGGGCTTGGATGTCGATGGGAGGTAGTTCGTCTCCGTTTTCTGCTTCGGGCGTATAAGTGAAAGCGATCTCTCCATCGGAATCGCCCTTGTGCAGATTTGACACATTAGGGAAGCTATCAAGAGCTTCTATCGCGGCCCTGAGGTCGAGATTGAATTGCTTGAGACCCATGGCCCCCCTCTCTCTGTCTATTGTGGTTGAAGGGGGAGAGGGAAGAAGGGAAGTTGGAGGGGGAGGATTCAGAGATTCTGGGGGATAGAAAAGATGACCTTGTGCCGAAATCTGACAGGTTCTGCCAAAGTTTGTTTATTTAATGCTCCAGTCATAGTTGACTGTGGTTGAAAGTCTGTGTCACGAAAGAACCTACCTTGGTACCTGAACTCGATGGAGAGGGAGCGTGAAAGAGACGGGACGTCCACTACTCGGGTGGTAATAGGGTTGTTGCTGCCTGCCACTGTCACTGCCACCTTAGTCATTCAGAGACTCTAAAGTGATAGGGCCAATGAGAGCAAGGCCATTCTGCTGCTCAAAGTATTGGCCACATCATCAGGTAGTGATGATACGAAGAGAGTTTGATGGATAAATTCACTTGATTTTATTCCCCGTCTTTAACCACACGAACACTCACATCGTTTGACATTGTGGATGGTATCAATATCTGTACATCAATTATATGGACCTGGGTCTAGTTAGTTTAGACAGGCAGCTAAGAACCCCCCCCTGCTCAGCCCTACCAATGACGTCTAGAGCAGTGGACATTTATGGCAATGGCTTTGAACTAGGTACCTATTGGCAGATAAGATACGGCTCTCCAAGGCCCATAGCTTGGGCCTGTGATATTATCATATAGTCGGTCTGAATTTGTGTAAGTACGACGGATACGCCTGTAGTAATCGCCCTTTGATCTGTATACCTTGATGTTTGCCTTTCTGAGCCTTGACTTATTGAAGATTCAGAGAGTGGAGAGCTAGAGTTTCGGTGGATCCAAGTAGAACCCACTCCAGCTTCAAGCTCTTTGGAAAACAAACATCTCCAATAGGTTAGGTAGCGCTCTGTTGCTCAACCGAGTCCATGGTAGTCAAACAACACTAGCCTGGAGGATAATCGTTGCTTGTTTGTGTTGCAAAGAAAGTAAATGGTCAGAACACTCAGAATTCTATTCCGGCTGTTTTCTTTCACCAACATACATATAAGGTACCTATATCCACTCAAGCTCCAGGTGACGACCCTGGTAGATGGCTTACATGAGTTTGGTGGCTCTATCTCCAAGTGAATGGCTATATAATCTCAAACAGGTACATAAATCTATAAAATGTATTGATGTAGATCGATTGGCAATCAAATCTTGACGCCTTCGCTAATCCATTGGTACTATTGATGAGACTTTGCCGTGTCTTATCGCGTGACTCTCGCTCGTCTCACCTATGAACCCTTGCCCAACCCCTGCCACAAACCTAAGGGATCACACCTCAGTACTACCCGGGGATGGGCTGCTGCCTCTGTCAGCAATTCTCGTATTTGACTGTCCCTTCCCCTCCCTCATTTTGCGACAACAAATAACTCTCCTCTACTTCATACTCTACACAGCCGCATGTACATGTTGTATCCTCTCGCTTCCTATAACATCATCGAAATGCTTCTCTGACCGTGATAATTGACGTGTCTCGACCAATTCAAGTTCGCTGCCCTTCGTTTCATCTTACATCAACAGCAAACGCATCCCACCAGCTTCATCCGTGAGAACCGACTGCCTCATTGTCCAATTGGCCCAATGGCAATAAACATCTTTTACGGCAGACAACGCCGCTTCGTGTCTCGTCGCTTGACCTATCTCGTTCTCCTTCTCATTGTCTTCGCCTATTCAACCTTGACCCTACTGTCTCCAAATGCCGCCCAAACCGATGTTGCCGAAGATGCCGCAAAAGCAGACGCTTCTAGCAAGATCAAGACTTCTGTCGATGGTATCCGTCACTCGCTCAAGAAAGGCGTGACAGAGTTGAATCCGTTTCGTGGTCCTGCCCATCCACCACCGACTCGAGCACAAGATTCATACCAAGGCACTTCTTGGTGGGCTGATTGGAAGTGGTTATCTGTGCCGTTCTCCAGCTCCCTTACCCTTGATGAGGATAGAGCACTGCTTCCCCCGCTCCAGGATCGCCCATTCATTTATTGCTACTACGATGCAACGGTTAAGAAATCGAGGGAAGAAAAAGATGCTGACAGCGATCTTCTTCTGACGTGGCGTCGCGCTTGGTGGGCTCAAGGTTTCCAACCAACCATCTTGGGTTCGTCTGAGGCCACTGAAAATCCGATGTATCAGGAACTTCAACGGCTTGAGGTTCAACCCGAACTAAAGGCCGAACTTATGAGATGGCTCGCTTGGCAATCTATGGGCACTGGCATGCTGGTGGATTATACACTGCTTCCAATTGCACATACTGAGGACCCTCTCTTGGTTTTCCTCCGAAGGGGAGAATATCCTGCCATGACCAGGTGGAAAGGCCTCGAAAGTGCGCTGTTTGTAGGTCCTAAGGAAGAAGTCACAAAGACTATCCGAATAGTAATGGACTCACTTACACTGAAAGCTGCTAAAAATGTCATTGATGCATCAACAAAGAATCACTTCAGGGTTGATAAAGCACAAACTGCACTGGTGCATTATAGCCCAGAGATCATCAAAAAGCAATACCCAAAGATCCATGACAGTATCACTAATGGAAGGGCAAGAGGGTTGGGGGCTCTCAATCGGCTTATCAACGCCCATCTTCACGCTGCATGGCAGAGTAGCTTCCCCCAAGGCATTGAGGTCCTCAAACCCTTTCCTGAGCACACCACCGAGATGGTCACACCGGCCTTGAAGCTTGCCGACTCCTTAGCCTTTTGCCCCGACAACCCCATCCCGTCATCATGCCCTCCTGGTATTTCAAGCTGCGCACACTGTGCGGCTGGCACCACATCTATGAAGGTCACTACCCCTGAGCAATATCAGAACACGAGTGGTGCATTTGCAATTGGAACAGTTCCTCATCCTTGGACACTTGCGACTTTGACAAGCTTCAAGGAGAGGGTGGACGTCAGTTGGATCCGTAAGGAGGCACCTCGAGACCCTTGGCTTGAGACTATCACAAAACTGCTTTTAGGCTCCAAGGTCTCCAGCAATTCGCGAATCATGCACTTCAAACAGGCTGTGGCCGGTGAACATGCCCCTACTCATGCACTGTGGCTGTCGGCTGAAGCTGATATTCCCCCGGATCTGGAGTGGTACTTTGGATTTCGCATTCCCAAGGGTTTGGGAGAGACATATATGGCTATGAACGGCAAAATCGAGCAAGGACCCATGGCAGGAAAGGCCAAGGCTGATAAATCAGCAAAGGTCGAGCGTACCGCGAAGGCTGATGTCGACACAAGGCCTGAGAAGCCTCAGCCTCGACCAGAGGATACCCCAAAGGAGAAGGCTCTCACGCCGGAGGAAATGCAGGCCAAAGAAAAATCCCTCCTGGAGCGTGCCAAGAAGATTGTTGCGCTCAAGAAATCCACCGATAATACTCGACTACGAGCATCGCTCGAGGCTTGGAACTTGGCAGACACAGAAGCCTGGAAGTTCGCGCGCGCTTTCCTCGCCCGTCGCAGCATGGAACGGATTGAGTGGGAGAAGGAGGAATCCAAGTATAGCGGCGGTGCTGGCTCTGAGAAGGGACGTAATGCTTGGAGTCGTTGGAAGGATTATTCTAAAGAACGAGAATAAGGGTTTGGCCATCTTCGTGATTCGACACTACACAACCCCTCGACAACACATTTGGTTTGCGGCGAATGGACTCGGGCGTTCTGGGCGTATGTATAATGGGATTATAATAATGGCAATTGAGCAGTGGTGTCTTGACGGGGTGCTGAGTAGGGGGCTTGCCATTTGACTGGAGTAGAGATGGTCAGGGACTTTGACAGATTAGGAGAGTCACTCAGGAATTCAAGAACGAAGCTTTCACCACCCGCCGCGAAATGAGACTCAGCACGTCAATCGTAAAACGAATGTGTCTGCGAACTAACTACCTACTTATCTGACACCAATGGGTTCTTCAACAGCAGCAACATCTTCCAGTCGCCGCCGTCGAGAGCCCTGGCCTCTAAACGCGGACAGTATCACCACCCATCTCACCGCTCAACTCACGAGAGGTCGGGCCGCGATGCTCCAGCGCAGCAGCCTTTCCAAGAGTTCCGTTGGTGTACTTGGAAGGATAAGTGCCATTTCCGTTCTGAGCGTGCGCGTTGCTCGTGTAAGAACGAAGAGCAAGACGAGCGGACTCAAGGACCTTCTCAGCGTGGACAACGGCGTCGCGGAGGGCGGTTGCAGTGGGATCCTCGGAGCGGGCGAGCTGCTCGGCACGGAGCTGGATGATGTGTCCGTTGAGCCAGATACCGTCGAGCTGGGCTTGGGTCATGTCGCGAGCACCGGAGATTCGGCCGCGGCAAGAGGGAGTGCCGCAGAGGCAGTCGAAGGGCTGGGCCATATGCCATTCGGTGGAGGGATAGAAGAACTGGACGTCTTGTGAGCCATTGAACCTGAGATTCGAGTGGGGAGAATAACGAACTGTAAGCTCATCGCCAACCTTGAGACCCTTGGGTCCCACGAGAATGTTCAAGTTTCCTACATCAAAGAGCTATACCCTCGCGTTAATCACATTGACCCTTTCTGGGAGACGGGGGCGTTCAACATCTGGGGCTTCTCCTTCAAGTAGGTCAACTAACGAGAGTAGGTTCGCAAGAATGGTTAATGTACAGCAGGTCACTGTTCAAGTTGAGATGAGTGTCGCGGCCGGTCTGAACGGTAGCGTAGGTCGGTTCGCTGGCGGGCGTGCAGGGAGGGAAGTCGAACTTTGCGAAAACTGCAAAAGGGGGGAGAGAAACGCGCGAGATGCTCTTGGTGGTGAATTCCTCGGGGTTCACGATGACGACTTCTTGGATGTCGGGGTGAGAGGGTTGGTGCCAATGGGGAGTGAGAGGAGCCATTGTTGGTGGTTTGGTAGCGGGTGAGGCTTGAGTGAGTATGAGTTCGGTATCTGAATGTGTAAGTTGGAGTGAAACTTGAGGGATATTTTTGAGAGGACTTACAACAGAAGTTATATGTGTTGTTGTTGGAGGAGGATGTTTTGGAGACGCAGCGTTAGTGAGACCTCGGTCTAAGTGGAGCTAGGTATAGGTAGGTAGCTTCTGAAAGATGAACTTGGATCAATCAAATACAAAGGTACAAACGAGAACGAGAGCACAAGGAAATACAAGCATTCTTATTTGGTTTCTCAATAACCTGCTCACAGCTGATACGCCCGCATACGTACAGTAGCTCGTGCTGGGCGAATTCTTTAGCTTATAGCCTCCGCAGCGCCGAAGTATGCCTAGCCCCCTGTTCGACCCACCCCGCAAAGACATGGATAGGTCCAGTAGCTGCGCCAAGGTACGTCAAGTCGGTCGGTCTCTGGATATTCTACGCTTGTCCCTTGGTAGTGGCGGGGTAAAGTGATGGGGCCGAGGAGGACCAAGATCCGGAGTACCGGCAGTGTCTTGCTTCATTCTTTTGTCTGCAGAGCTGTAGCTGTAACTAAGATATAATGCGGCAAGTTATTACCCGCAGGTACTGTCAAGATGGCATGAGATAGTCTATATCATGAGACCTTGGCCAGGGGTGACCTATCAGCATTGAATGTGTCACACAGAATGCAGTGACGTGACACGGAGAGGAATGAGTCCAGACCCAGTGGATTGGCTGTTCCTGGACCGTGGGGTTGAAGCTACCTTACTTTGCGACGGTTGGATATTGGTGTGGAGGGGTACATTGGCTGACAATCACAAGATGGAGGGGTAACACAGCAGCTCATGATAGCTAATAGGATAAAATATGCTTATCATGAGGGATGTGTAGTAGGTAATTGAGCCTATATCGATAGGTGTCGATAGTCCTGGACACCCTATTTCGAGACAAAGCAATATTTCCCATGGACTATCTCTCTGTAGCTCGGCATGACAGCTGACATCCATTGCATGGGGTCTCATGAGCCGTGGTCATGGCTAAGGCGGGCCGAAGTGGTGGGCCGGCATCTCCATCCCTTAAGCCGAGGTACCAGTACGCCTCATCTTCTCACGAGGTGTGAACGACAGTCATACAGCTTTTCTATTATGGAGTTATGTAAGCAATAAAACCACAAACGCTAGTGGTCGAGGCTTCGTATCCTATCTTGAAGTGCTCTGTCGGTCGAATCTCTTGTTGCAGGGACAAAGGCAAACACCAAGGTCATAGGCATCAACAGTTTAACAAAAGTAGGTAGGCAGAACAACATTCATGAAATGGTGGGGTTAGGTCATCATATAACGTTAGTGAATGCGTGTTTGCAATTGCCTAGCATTGAACGTCCAGGGACCAAGTGACGTAGGTAGTCCCCACGCCAGCCCCAATGAGGCTTCAGGTCAGGGGACAAGAATAATTGTATTCTCACGACTCAGGTCATTCTCGGTGCATCAAATTTGGGACAAAACACTATATCAACAGGTTGAATACCGTGTGTTGTCTATTTTCGTACGACAGTTTCTATTGTGTCTTCCAATTACATTATTGCGACAAACGCTTCCAAGCTACCCCTCACTCCAACACACACTCATCTCCCCCTTTCAAAATATCACATAGTGCCGCTTCAAGACGAATATATTACACTCGGGTCGAGAAAATTAGAAATCTGGACGGAATTTGTTGCGTGTCTTTCCACCAACTCTTCAGGGGTGTTGACTCTGGTGCGTGAACTCTTCTGCAACTGCCCGACAACTTCCACTACCCACCACCTCTGGTCCCATATGAGAGAGGATGAAGGAGAACAACACCAATACTCCATCATGATGTCGAGACGGTTCGAAGAAGCCCCTCATGAAGTAAGTTCTTCGCGATGATTGAAAAGTGCACATACTTTTACACTACTTTTGTTTCAACTTTATTCGTCAGGATGGGTGAGAGGAACTCCCTGATAACCACAAGATTTCCACAGGACGATGCCATTCACAACGTTCATGAAACGCATGATTGGACTATTGTGTGTCTAAACTGTTATGGTCTTGGTTGTGGGAGCCCATCGTCCAGACAGCAGTCTCCACTTTGCACTACGCCTGAGTCCAGACGTATCACAGGGCATGCACTACTAGCCAAGTTTCAATAGATATGCCTAAATCATGACTTCCATCTCTTGTCCATACCACTGGTTCGCAATTAGAACAATAGTAGGCCTTCACACGCGGAGATCACTTCAGTGTTTGCAGGCTAGGGAGCGGGTGAAGGACTTGTGGTGCAAACCCTAGTGCCCCCCTGACTTATTCCTGCATTGCATTGTATCGAGAGGAACATGTAGCTACAATTAAAGCAACCAGTCCTGTATCCATCGTCGCAACTAGCTAAGCGTGACATCGAGTCCCTGAATGCAGTATCTGTAGTGTGTGGATGCCCCCCCTGCAGTCTCTCCTGTAATCACCTCGAGTTCTTCACAGTATGCCCTATTTCTTCCCCAGGGATATCATCTCCTGGCACTGAGCAAGGCATTCTCAGAGACCATTAAAGAGGTTTAATTTTGTGCTGTGCGTTGCAATTCACCAAGTCTCTTCTCATCTCCACCTCTGCCCGTGGCCATATCCTTCCTCTCCACTCTCTCTTCCATCTCTCAACACATCTCATCTTCAACAACATCATCACCACCCTCAATGTGAGTATTCCTTTGGTGTATTTCCTTTTCCGAATAACTTCATGCCCTTGATCTCTCCCTTCTCTTCCATCTCTTCCATCTCTTCCTTCTCCCACTCTCCATCATCCCCATTCGTGAAGTCGCTACCGCGTTCTTGCCTTCGCTTTCACTCCAACATCAGGCGTGCCCGTGGCTTTTTGCTTCCTCTCCTCTTCCCTCCGCACCCTTCTTTCCTGTGTATGCTCTAACATTTCATCGCGAATAGATAACGTCCTCTAAGATCGCTGTTCGCGAAGTGAGTCGATCGCGGCTTCCGTATTAAACAACTGTCAGGCGCTCCTCTCCTCGGAGAGTGGAAGGAGCTCCTTCCCTTCACCTTCACCTTCCTCAGGTCGACCTTATATGCCTACAAGCCTTGAGATTCTGATATTTGACACATACCATCAACCTCTCTCCCACACCAACCTCTCATCACCGAGTTAAACCCTTGCTTTCGTTCACGACCACACGCTGTTGCACTCCTTGTCAGTCTTTGTCAGAAAACGTTCACTACCTGGCATTCACATCAAGACATTGTCATTCAAGTTGGACGCCTAGTAGCAAAGGGCACTGTTCTGTTTGTATCGTCTACTGTTTGCTCTTTAGCTGTCAGTACATATCAAGTAAGTTAGAGCTTCCTCCTTTTTCTTCCCCTGTGCAGCAGACCTTTCGCTGCCGGTCCCTGTGCACTGGCGGAGAGCATTGCTTCGTGGGCTGCTCCAATGTCCAGCACACTGGAAAGTCTCCCAGCTACTACTGCACTTGGTGGATGGCCCCAGGCTTCTCATTTTCATCGGTTCAGCCTTTTCATCTAACGACGGCAATATCATGGCTTGCTTGTTCCTTATTCTCGTAAAAGAGGCTCTCCATTTTGATGCAGAAAGGATTGGCATTGGCTTCCCACAGGTGTACATGGAATTTTGCTAACTGGATTCTTCCATCGCAGCTGGTTGCTGTCTTTTTACTTGGACCCTTCCAAGATGAGACACATTGCCTATACTGCTCGTGAATTGTTGCGTCTACGCCACAAGCCTCCCCAAAAAGATATCTCCGACAAACTCGTCTCCAAGGTCTTGGAAGACAGAGACTTGGGTACGTTTCCACTCTCCTTTTACACCCACAACATGAACTTCAAATCTAACATCAAGCAGAAGATATCATCCGTACCCCTTACGTGAACAGTCCATCACTGTCCCTTATTATCGAAGAGGGTAACTCCAGCGACGCTGACGAGATGCATCGACGCCCTGTGCAGCAGCTTGACGGCACCGACTCGGATCGCAAGTACCGAGGCCGAAGTGATTCTGAGCTTGATCGGGCACCGACAGTTGCTCCAGCAGATCTTGCAACCCAGAAATCCGAAGGCTTTCAAAAGTTTTACAACTCTGTTGTTTCCCCTACCCATGTTCGGGTCACTGCTGGTGGCCGAATCGTGCCTAACACTCGAGGGCCTCACTCTCCGACCTCCAAATGGAGTCGCGAGCGAAGCTCGATCGATGGGCAGAGCCAGGCTCGTAACTTGAATGGTGATCAGCCTGAGGGCGTCGCCTATCCTGTTCTACCTCCTAGCTGGGGCCACTTTGCTCCTATGGTTCCTCCACATGCTCCAGGAACTTTGCCAGGAATGGCACTTCGACCAGAAGGGGTCCCTTTCATTCCTCCTCCTATGGGTTATAACTTGGCTCCCATCTCATACAATCAGTTTCCTGCCCCTGGCCTCCCGATGCAGCTCCCGAGTCAAGCTGGTCCTTATGGCAAGCTTCCGGACGCAGGTATGGAACAGGCACGCAATGTTCACCTCTCTCCTGCCGATCAGTTCGATAACTCCCGCCCCTTTCTCTGCAACGGACAGTGGTGGATCGCAAATGGAGGCGTTCTATACCCCATCAGCATGCCGCCTCAGATGAGCTTTGCACCCCCTGCTGTCCCCAGTCCTGCGGCTCCTCGCCCCAGTGGTGATTTCAACGCAGCTCCTGCTAGATATGGACGCCCATCGTCACGACAGCCTGACCCATTGCCTCTTCGCTTGCAGAATGAGCCTTCGCGCTCCGCCAGTCCTCCAGTGTCGTCAATTCGTCCAAGCTCGATTACCCAGAAGCAGCTTGAGGTTCTTCGCAGTCAAAAACGCTACCACCAAGACCAGCTTCGGTATAACAAGCACCAGATCGATGCTCGAGACATGGAAGAGCAGCTTGAGAACATTTGTCGAGAGATTGAGCATTTCGAGCGCATGCTGGCGACTCAGCTCGAGTTCGAGTCCAGGAAGTATCCACCAGAGGGGTTTCCTGACGGACCCCTTTCCAACTCATCCAATGACTATGGCAATAGCAACAGTGAATCCGATGGCATAAACGCTGTCAATGCAGTGCATCCCTCGGGCTTCGGGAATCAACTGACGGTCGGCAAGACTGGCGGCACCTTTCCACAACTTGCGAGTGTTCAAACCCGGCTGCAAATCACGGCACCCACTTCGGCCAAGAACTTCAACAATGCGTTGAAGAATGATGATGTTCAACAGCGTAAGCCATCCAGCCTTCCGATCCATGCTGCTTTGGCACCTGTCTTCCAGCCGCGCTCAGATCTGTCGACCTCCGCTGTCGCACCCAATGAGGTGGAAGAAGTCGACGAGGGGGTGCAGATGCGGCAATATGAACGCATGTACAAGAACGCTGAGGGCTGGCGAACGTTCTTCAGGAACAAGCTCCATGCTGACAAGAGCATGGGCCCCCCCTATCTCATCGGGAAACTCAAGCCAGGAGTTCGGCCAGAAAACGCCAGAGACACTGATTATGTGTACGATCGCGAGTTGACAGCAGAGGAGGAACGCGCTCGCTTCACATATTGGGGACGAGCACCTTTCATCTTCGAGAATGGACTCCCTCTATATGACGGCAAGAATTTCTATCCACCTTGCGTTATCAAGGAGGAACCTGTTGTCGCCAATGAGTCTGTTCCTCAAAACGCCTCTGTGCCAAATGAGTCAAAGACGCCGCCAATGAAGCCCATTGAGGTTGATCCCTTCCATGCCGTCTCCGAAGCTACCATGCCTTCTGCCCGTTACGCCTTTGATGACGCTACTCGCTCCGAGTCTTTGCACCGTACCGACGACTCTCTCCACGCAAGCTCAACCTCTGAGGTGCCTCGATCTGAATCCCACGCTGCTCATTCTGGAAGTCGTTACCTGGAATTCCGCCGAGCGATCAATGAGCGTCCACGAATCCCGAGTGAGAAGCTACGTGCTAGAGTTTCAGACGACTCGGGTGACGAAGAGGGCAATCTTCTCTTCAAAGGGCGCCGAGTTGATCGCGATGCGAAGTAAGTGAATACCATATTACTCATTGTGGCCAATACTAACTTCGTTGCAGCAAGTATCCGAAAGACATCTGGTCCACGATGCGCAAGAATGGGAAAACGAGTGCGAATGTAGTTGCAGGACAAGTCTCCCCTATGACTGCCCAAGGTGTGCTGCCTCATTACGCCGGGCATGCCACTGCATCCTTGACTCCTGCAGTTACGACCAACTCTCGTGGTAATAGTGCCAAGCTAGGAGACGTGAACGCTTCCCCAACAGCAAACATCACTGTCGGAAGACGTGAAGAGAACAGACCGCCCCTTGAACTTCTTGATCAACAACTGCGCGGCGCCAGCCTTCAGGACAAGAGCCACCATGGGTTCTCTACTCGCTGAACAACCTCTTTCTCGCATTCTTCCTTGACAATCTTTCCAATTTCTTGGACGCGGGACTATCGATGATGCCGCATCTTCCTTGCTTTCGATAAGCATCAGCCATTGCTCTTATGATTACAATTTGTATCACTTACTACACAGTTTCGTTCACATGCTACTTATGGTTAAAGTATGGTCTCACAGTCCGCCACGGCCGCCAGTGGCCTTTGCATTTGGTTGAATCGGTCAACGCTTGATCAGATAAAGCGCCTATCACACAGACGCGCAGGCAACATCAATGTTAGAATCATGTTAGGATTTCGAGGGTCATGGACAGGCGTCAAAAAGTTTGTCAAAAAGTTTGCCTTGTGTGCAGAATAACTGCTAGATGAATCATTCTCATCGGGGGCATGGATTATGTTCATAGGACTCTTATGTTAGATACGTTTGCTCACAAATATTTGCTTGCTATTAGACTCCTCTTGCACTGGTTCGGTGAAAGAAACCTCATGGGGGAGATATACGGCCTCGACCGGTTTGACTTACACCAAAATTCGCTGGCGATCCACCAATTTCATGGTCGTTTCTTATTCCCCAGCCTCCCAGCTAGAACACCTCCCAGTAAGTTCTACAACTGCGCTTCGGGTCAGGAGAATCATCAGGATTCTTAGGTGTGCTCACCACCAAAAAGCGTCCCGTTTATTCACCAAACACCTAAGACTGGTGGCTAACTACGACACGCCGGGACAACTGAATGGCAAAGATATTTGTGAATGAGAAGAGAATCATGTTTGATTGCATAATACTAGGAAAACTACCTTAAGCTGAAAGAATGTACCTCACCTTCAAATTTCCAGCCTCATTGGCAACTCGGTGAAAATCTTCTAGGGAGAACAGGACCCCATGATAGTAGTTGGGTCCTGTCGGGTTTACTCTTCGCTAGACGTATACCTCGAAAACCATGGATCTAAGTGGTTGACGCGGAGATATCCTAGCGGTGGACAAAGTGAAGCCTACGACTTACCGTACAAAGGCGCACCCAAGTGCGGCTGAGGTCTACGACAGACAGACATTGAATTGAATGCGTCTGATGGTGTTTGTTAGCATCCTACGAGAGGACAGATGGGTCAGCCACCTGTCCGACAGAACATCACGAGGGGACTCGCGAATGTGCATGTGGGGAGAGCAGGTCAAGACTTCGGGATAAACCTCCCATGGAGCATTTCACCAGTTGAGTGAAATGGCCATTGAGAACCCTAAAAATTCTCAATTCATCTACCCTGCTGTAGACCAGGTACCGTGCGGTTAGAAGGAAAAGCACGTAGGTATCGTAAAAACGCCGCCGGAGTAAAATGCCCATTTCCTCATCAACTTTTGCCCTTTGAGTTGCTCACATTCGTGTCGTGATTATGTGAGTGGTGAAAAAAGAAAAAAGATTCGTCCTCGCCAGGGAGGAGAGGTTTGATCATGTCGTCTTGAAAGTTTTGGTGGTTTGGTTTTTGTTATTGCTCGACAAAGTTCATCGCTTAAGCGGTGACCTTGTTGTTGGCAGCGAGCTCACGGCCAACCTTGGAGCGGGCCAGGATGTCCTCACGGTCCTTGTCAAGCTTGAGCTTGGTGATGACGACGTTGGAGGGGTGGATGCCCAGAGGAACGGACTGGCCGTTGGCCTTGTCGCGGGTGATACGCTCGATGTGGACAACGTACTTGAGACGGTACACGGAGGTGATCTTGCCCTCACGGCCCTTGTTGGAGCCACGGACAATGGTGACCTCGTCGTCCTTTCGGATGGGGATAGAGCGGACCTGGGTAATGTTAGAGGCGTGAAGTTTTTTTATTTGACTGCCATTGAGACTCACGTTGTACTTCTCACGGAGCTCCTTGGAGAGGGGAGCGCTCATGATGACACGGCGCTGGTCAGAGGGAGCCTTGAAGTGAGCGGCACGGCTCTTGCGTCGAGAAGACGAAACGTCTGATTGAGGTCAGAATAAAGAACACGGAATGCTACATCTGCTATAGAGAAACTCACTGGTGCTGACTTTGACCATTTTGTCGGTGGTTGGCGAGGACGACGCTGGTGAGTTAGTTGAGCGTTGGGCAATGAAGAACGGATTGACAAAACGAAAGAAAATTCTGAAAATGTGCGGATTTTAGTTGACTTTGTGCGGGCACGTGATCGAATTGACAGGGGTGAAATTGCTCCATTTGAGCTTGAAAGTGGAGGACGGAAAAATTGGCTGAGTCAGCGGTTGCGGGCCGCATTTACTGCATTGGGGCATTGGAACACCATTTTCTTTGCAGCTATCGGCATCAAATTAATGAGATGAGAAGAATTTGCATGATGTCGGATGTTAATGGTACATGCGGAGGAATTCGAAGTTTTATAGAAGGGGGACTGGAAACAGGTGTTGATCCATTGACTTGAATCCGTGTGACACAAAGTCATAGTCTTCAAGGTCACAGACATGGATGTCTAATCCGAAATAGCTGTATGGTATTCGTATATTTTACAAGAGGAGCGTATTGTACATAATCCAACATATCCATCTATGCAGACATAGGTCTCTGGAATCGTCCATTGTTATCGTATCTTGCTTCTAGAGTGGCTGTTAGCATTTCTGACTACTATGAGACCTGAATAACTTACTGAAGAAGGTGTAACTCAATGTCACCGTCTCTACGCCCCTCATGTTCATATCATTGAGCAGATCAGGATCCAAGTAGAAGAAGACGGGCATGTCCACAGTCTCGCCCGCATTGAGGCGCTGCTCCTCGAAGCAGAAACACTGGATCTTGCTGAAGTAAGGCGCACACTGGCCAGGCGTCACACTGTAGGTAGCAACTCCGATGATGTCCTGGTCACTATTGTTGGTGGCCTTGTAGAAAGCCAGTGCGGTCTCACCGGGGAGAACTCGCACTTCTCGCTGCTGAGGGACGAACTTCCAGGGCAGGACATCGGAGACAGAGGCACTGAAGGTGACTTTGATTCGCTTGGCGTCTTTGACGGGCACGAGTCGGCTTGCGAGATCGCCTTCGTCACCTGATCCTGGACCGCCGTGGGCACGTATGGGTTGACCGCCCCAGCCGGTAGTCTGGCAGATCTTGAAGGGTGTTAGAAGAGCATCGTGACAATGAGAAGGGAGGGCCTCACCATCTTGTATAAGGGCACAGAGCCATAAGTGAGAGTTACAAATCCGAGGATTGTACTCAAGACATAGTACCTGATAATCGTAAGCCACGACCTTTCCAGTTCCATATTCAATCGTACGCCACGGTTCTATTCTTCTTGCTATAATGCGCACGAATCTCGTCCATCGTCGGTGTATAAGGCTGTCCCGTGCGGGCGTTATTCGATGCATTGCGGGCAAAGTTGAAGGCATTTCGCTGGAGCTTCGGGCGGGCATTCTGGCAGAAGAAACATGACCATTGTGAAGAAGCCGCGCGGGCTGAGCTTCGCGCGAGTCGAGGCGCTACGTTCATGGTCAATTGAGGGGTCAATTGGTGGTTTTGTTGGTGGTGAGGCGTAGATATTGAGTTGGCTGATGTTTGGGGGATGGATTTCTTGCTGACGTCGGGGATCGGGATGTGCAATGCCGATGGTGGGAAGTGAGCTACCCTATGGAAGAACGCCGATTTGATCATGAAGTTTTGGCATGTTTGGTAATTGGTTAATTTCGTGTCGCATAAGGTATTTACTACGATATTTCTATTGAATTGTCACTTGTTTCTACTTATTGGTCTCAGTGAATGACTTGACTTGTCATCACAGATGAACAACTCGGTAGTTTTGGAAGAGAGATCTTCATGTGAGTAACAATGCGAATAGCTGTTTTCAAATCTCAAAAGACAAGACATGTTTCTTTATCTTGTATTATTGGTCCTCGAGAACTCTCATTCAATAAGATATCAAGTATCGAATGTGTCAACTATGCCGTGTAGCCGTTGACAACCGCTACAATACAAATGCCTCAGGAGTTTGAGTTCAGCTTACTCCATTAAATGGCTAACTACCTACCATAAAAAGACAATTCATCCGCCTGTGGTCCCTGAAACTATTGTATGTCACCCCGAAGCACGTGCAATTTAGGTAAGGCAAGGTAGTTGAGATCTTCCATGATCATCTTTTAGCAGGAAGTTCGGCAGTGTCTGTGGACCATGCAATGAATCCCTGTTTCAGTGGCTACCATTATTAGCTCGTTCGTATTTGAGGTTCTAGACACCAGCATCGTCTAGCCCTGTCGGCACCACCGAACTTACTTTATATGTCCAATGCTGCAGCAGCTAAGTGAGCTAGCAGGAGGCCTCGATTATGCTTCAGCAGTTGGAAAGCTTCTTTTTCGGATACAACAGTAGCGATGGTATCATCTCTTAGCCATCTTTTGTGGCTTTGACAGTTTAAAGGGAGTACGCATTGAGTGGTTCTATTGGTTGGACTTACGCGGTGGCTCATCATTACCACTTACACATTAAACGGATGAATCTTGGAACTGGCCTACGAAATGAATTAAGCCGATGGATCGATATTATTAATAAAAGCTTAGCATTGACTAAGATCCACGGCAGTGACTCTTCAGGCGAGAGAGACGACTCGACGGAAAGGTTCGGTCGGTAGGTTAGGTACTTTAGTAGCTGCTTGTTTCAACTTGGCTCCTAATGGAATGGAATCTTACATGGACCACGGATTGGCCTTGGACCCGCCGCCACGAAAAGCTGTAGGCAAAGACAGAGCAAGGCAAGGAAAGATGCGAGCGGACAAAAGCTTAAATAAAAGCCAAGCCCAAAGCATGTGCAACACCAAAAAGAGACGAATTCGATCTCAATGTTTCTCGCCATTGACTACCTCTATCCTATCTTCTCGGGTGATTGACCATGGAGCCAACAGCAGAGGATAGACACAACAATTCACACTCGGCTCACGAGCTCGAGAGGTTTCACACACCAAAAGAAGAGTTCCAGACTCAACCACACCATGACTACCAATACCAACGAGATGAATCGAATCCCCTCTGCAGGTCAAACTCATCGCCAACGCCAGGCTCACCACAACAATCTGACAAAGCATCACACCATCGACGACCAAGCAGGGCAGTTGCACTAGAGAAGCTCCGAAATCGTCCAAAAAAGCTACGAAAGGCTCTGATTGCAAACATCTTGAGATGGTTTGCTTCAGTGCTGTTTGTCGTCGCTATTTACGTGATATTATGGTACTACTCAAAGCTAGATATCATGTCAACAACGACAAAACGAGAATTCAACGCTCTCATTATCGGACTCTCCCTCGGTCTTGGAATGAGCATAACGATATCCCTTGAGGCAATGGCTGTGGAGATTAGATATTGGATCATCAGTCTTCGAGATTGGCCAGATCGAGAGGTAGGTCAAGCTAGCAACGTCAATTGTGAATGGCTACTAATACCTGGTAGACCGAGTTGATATTAAAAGCAAAAGACTTGACCAAGATCATCCAACTCACTTGGGTATCGAAATCACGTTCGCTACGGTCATACGCTGTGGCTTTCATAATACTCAACATCATATCCCAGATTGCTCTAGCTATGCTCGGTCTCGTCTATTCTACAAACACAGCTGACTCGGCTGCAATTCTACACCCTGGCAATGTCACAGTACCAGACATGTCCAACATCGTCACAAACAGAGTTCTCGCAAACAAGTCGCAAAACAACTCACAAGCGCTCGGTGCCTTACGATACACCGCAAACAGATACACCAAAGTCATCCAGAGTGTCTTTGAAGCAGCACTGACAAATTGTCTAGTTATGGCACTATCGCCCTTGGAGCGAACTGGGGAACCATGGACGATATCCCTAAACCTGGAACACTCTGGGACAACAACGATCCTTTGGCGTACTGCGGCGGAAACTCTTGCACATACGTCTTCCAGGAATCCACGTCACGACCAAAGAACTACGATCTCGTGGTGAGCACCAACCGGAGCGTTGAGGCCACAGGAAATTGCCGCAGCTGGAAGGTCGCAAAGGGAGGTAACGGAAACGAAATCACCATCACAATCGACGACGACAAGAAAACACAAGTCAACATCACAGCCATAAACGGCGCCAACCAAACAACATTCATGTTCAACGCTGCGGCACCCCAAGGCCAAACATGGAGCGAAGTCGCAGCCTTTGAAGCCTCAAGCTCCCAAGCATGGTTCTACCGTTGCAACGTCAGTATCGGACCTGTCGTCAACGCCATGCGCAAGGAGCACTACATCGGAACCAACATCACATCTCTAGCCACTTCAGCTATAGCTCTCCAGGGATACGGAGCTTCCTCACTAGGTCCCACGGATAGCGATCGACAGTTCCAGAGCTATCCGGCCGAGTCGTCGTATGGGCAGCCCATGAATGGGAGCACAGAAGACATGGGACAGGTCATGTCGACTTTTGCGATTGGTGTAATAGCTGTCACGGCCCAGTCTGCTACTGGCATAATAGTCCCGGGGTTGCAGCCTCAGAATGGCGTTGTGTTGCAGATTACAAAGTGGATGTATGTACATCTCATCTTGGGTTTGAGTTTGGGTGTGCAGTTGTTATTGGGCGTTGGTATTGCGATACTGTCAAACTTACCTTCGAGGTAGTGGTTACAACGTTTAAAAGTGTAATGATGTTTGCTTTAGATTCTGGGTATATAGGCAAGCGAATGATGATGATATTTGGACTAATCTTTAAATTCCATGGGCCATGTTCTCCACGTATATCTGAGTACGGCATCTCGCAACTCTAGTGGCCTATCTGCGTTAAGGAGATATCTGATTGTCACGACACGTCACCTCCATGCAACATAAGGGGTCCATGATAAGGTTGATCGCAAGTCGAGTCACCACGTAGTCATATTGAGGGAAAGACATGTGAATGCCATGGCTTGAAGGCCTCACCTTTGATGCCTGAAGTGGAGTGTAAACGGTCTCGCTTTGCAACAAACATCATCTTACTCTAACTTGTGAGCATAATATCCCATGATGTTTTCCAGATCAAGAGTCTGAAAGAAGAAATGATATGGAATTCAATAATTGTGCGGTGTAAAACCTGCCTATGCAATCTCATTGCTTTATGCTATATAACTTAACTTCAAGTGCACGCCTGCAAACCAGAAAACTACCAATCTTAAAGAACTCCGACCAAATAGACACATAATTCACTTTTATCGATGCTTTCCGTTTGTAAATCTCACCCTGTTACCATTCACAAGCCGTTGACGTGGAGAAGGACTGCTCCCGACCAGTCGCTCAAGGATCTGAACCACAAAAACCTGAATCACCAGGATGATCAAGCGCAGCAGGTGGTCGATGAGGCTTAGACTTGGTACCTTGCCTCGGCTATATGTTGAATCGGTAAACTCGAATGGAAGCTTCGCGCCCAAGTGTTCTTGGGCCACTTCAAGCCCACTGCTGAAACCATCCTCGTGGAGACCGTACTTGGTCCACGCGCCGGCATAACTAATACCGCGAGTGTTTTGGATATGTTTTAGAAGCTTCTGTGCTCGAACGGCGGATGAGGTGTATATAGGTTGTGAGTAGTAATAACGTCCCTGGGTTTGCGCAGGCTTTGGCCTTTGAAGCGGGTTCAAAGTGACGAAGACGTCGCCGAATGTGTTTCGAGGAATGTGCTGAAGGATGTTCATGTTGTAAGTGAGTGAAACCTGGTTGATGTTTCCCTTTCGTGAAGATGGTGATGACACTGCAAGATAATTCCAGCTGGCCCAGGCCTTCTTACGGCGAGGCATCATATCGAGATCGGAGTGAAGAACGACTTCATTCTGCGATGTCTTGAAGCTGGACATGATGGAGCGCTCTTGCTCACTGGCGGATGACTTGATGATATCGTATGCCTCATCACCATGTGTGGCGAGAATGACGTGGTCGTACAGAGCTGATGAACCGTTTTCCAGGTGCAGCCTAACTTGACCGTTGCTCTCAGTCGTAACATGCCTGACTGGTGTCTTGAGGAAAAGATGATTGGGAGGGAATCCCTTCATGACGGCATCGACATATGACTTAGAACCGCCCTCTATTGTCATCCATTGAGGGCGAGCTCTTATTGTGTTTAGTAAATGATGATTCCAACTGAGACATGATTAGTATGTGTTTGTACTGTACAGTGTCACTAGAAATCTTAACTTACAGGAAGCGCACGAATGTCGCTGCGGGGAATTCAAGTGAGCACCTGTCAGGACTTGTACTCCATATTGATGCCGCCAAAGGAAGCAGATAATCGTCTCTAAAGGCATTTGAGTAGCCTTCAAGCTCCAGGTATTGGCCAATTGTGATGTCTGTGCAGGTGCAGTTTGTCGCTTTATTCAAAACTTCAATGCTTGCTATGTCATCATCGTCATCGCTCAAGATATCCAATGCGAATTGGTTGAAACGGAAGATGTCGAAAAGCATTCGCCACATTCGCGGTGAGAGTAAATTTCTCCGTTGACAAAATAATGAGAACGGACTGGAACCTGACCATTCGAAAGCGCCGCGATCTCGGGATAGACTGAATGTTAGGTCTGTAGGCGTTGTCTTGATGTTGATCTTTTCCAAGAACTTGGTAAAGTTGGCTAAGAGAGAGAAGCTTCGGTGAGCTATAAGTATAATTAACCGTTGAGAGGGGACAAAGACTCACGGTAGGTGGTGGCGTTTAAAACATGGAAACCTGTGTCGACCTTTGTTGAAAACTTTCCCTTTTTGAAATTGACAGTGTTTGTATGACCTCCAAACCTGTCAGAGGCTTCGTAGACGTAGACATCATGATACGTCTTGTTCAAGGCCCACAGAGCACCTATTCCAGCAGAGCCGCTGCCGACAATGGCGACCCTTTTCCTGCGGAAGCGATCAGTCGAGGAGCTCATTGTATCTATCGACTGTCGGTGTAGGCAGGCAGGAAATAGAGAAGGGAAAGGCTTGGTCTGTTCAAGAGGGTGTACAAGACATATCTATCTTGAATAGAGAGCAGAAATAGTAGTAAAGAGACAGCAGAAACAGTAAAAGAGAAAAGCATGTGACAGAGCCAAGCCCAATACTCCAGTTCAGGCAATGATCAATTCATGATTGGATAAATAGCGGTATCGGTATTGGTCTCGCAGCCACAGACGGACACAGACGGTGTGAGTTGTCGAAGCTGATTTGATGACGAGGCAATGGAATAGATTTTGGGGGGGGGGTTGGACAACGGAAGCAATGCAATAGTGGAGGTCAGTCACCATGGATGACGAGACAAGGACTTACATGTGCTGTGGCTCCAACATACTTTAGCGAGCAGCGGGATACAGTATCCGAGATGTACTAATAGATAAGGAGAGACAGACAGACAGATTAGTGTCAGTAGCAGTCAGGTAGTGCCTTGCTTCTGCTTTCAAAGAGAGACAGTGGCTTTTGGGGATCTACAATATGAGAGTTTGGTTTGCGGACAGAGGGTGGGAGTCAGCGGGAGATGAATGGTCAAGCTTCTATTTTTGCTGGGGGTTCGTTCCGAGAAATGACATCGATGATTATCCCGTCCCATCCCAACATTGAGCTCATGACCCACTAACTTAACACGGACGGAGCTCGAAACCGAAGTTGACTCGACTTCGGTACCGACCTTGTAAAGGACGAGGACCTTGTCTTGGCTGCTGAACTGTCAGCTGGAGCTAGGACAGCTGGCAATGGATCCTTCAATGGCATTATCCGATAGCTCAGGTGGGTGGTTCATGCTATGTATGCTCCTGTGGCTGCACTGTAACCTCGCGGAATATGCAGCATGCCACATCTTGATCAATATCCTGGATGTGGCTTGGCTGAAATGCCGTTTCAGGGTTTTTTCCTCCATCAGCAGCCTCGACATCTGAAAACCTCAACGCAGAAAACTCTACACAACGCCGAGTCCGGCAGGATGATAGCTGATCTGGAACATCATCTTCACATGCAACACATTCAAGATCGTTCTTTCATTATGCAATCTTCCACCAAAGACCTCAAAGTATGGTATGTCGAACACTCAACGGGACTGGTAAACGGTAATTCGAGTCACCAATTCTTAAAAGCGCCGTGCAGGATAAACCCGCCTTCGTCTGCCCAGTTTGTTTCAACCCGACGCCATTGACCGAGGTCGTGGCGCTGAGCCGCTTTTTCTTCGCAATCCGGGGTATTCAACTTTCTATGAAGAGAAAAAAAGAAGAAAAAGCCCAAATTTTCATCGGCAACTCTCAGTGATATACTGCCCCAGCTTCAATCGTGCACAGACCACCATATCACGTGTACCATGGCGTGCTGCGTTCATTGGTCACTAGGTTGGCCTCTCATACGCAAACGACCAGGCACTCACTCAGCACTCGGCCTGCCGAACCTGGAACGCTGACGAGAACGTCAAACCATCAACCACTCACATCCAACATCACCCGAATATTGCGCGTTCGACACGAAGTCAACTACATCCCCCAGCAAATACTATAATTCGGCATCCGACTCCTATCACGACCGAAATCAGCCGCACTTGCAACCCCTTCCCCTCAATCTCCTGTCAGTCTCCAGTCTCCTTTCACGATGTCGAACCCTCTCGATACCGATGCTGGCTCTGAGCTCTTCACCTCATACGAGGCTGAATTCAAGCTCATCCAAGCAGACCTGAACCAAAAGCTGGACCAGATCCCTGAATTAGCTGGTGAGCCTCGAAAAGCCGCTATTAGCCAAGCCGAGCGGGCGCTGGAGGAACTTGATGAGCAGGTAGGTCTATCGGATGTTCAACATCGCCACCACTACTCAGGTCCATGCTAAATGCTAACTCTCTCGCTATTCAGCTCAGCGCAATGCGCCTGGAAAAGCAAAACATTCCCACCAGCTCTCGCACCAAGGTCAATCAGCGCTTCCGAAACTACGAATCAGACACAGATGCCGCTCGTCGCAAGTTGACCACTCTCTCCTCCGATCGCTCAGCACTCTTCGGATCGCGATACACAGACGACCCCGCTGGCTCATCAGACATTCACATGGAGCAGCGACAGCAGCTACTCTCGGGAACCGACCGTCTTGATCGAAGCACACAGCGATTGAAGGCCAGCCAGGCCCTCGCCAACGAGACCGAAGCCATCGGCGCAGGGACCCTAGCAGACCTCAACAGGCAGCGAGAAACCATCGAGCACACCCGCGGCATAATGCTCGAGAGTGAGGGCTACGTGGACAGGAGCGTCAAGACACTCAGGGGCATGGCGCGTAGGTAAAGTGGCCTACACAGACGTCATGTCAATTACGGAAGAGCTGACATTTTATGAAATCGCAGGATGGCTACAAATCGGATAATCACCATCTCTATCATCACTGTCTTGGTTATTCTTATTATTGCGGTCATCTTCAGCAAGTTCCGATGAGGAATGGGCTTTTGGTTATCGGAGTTTAGGCAGTCGTTTTCTTGACCCGGCTTACAATGGATGCGCTGTGCTGTTATTGATAATGGGCCTTACGCGTACTATCGTTTGATGAAGGAGTTTTAGCATGCTTAGTGATTTGTAGATGTAGACCGTCTTGTCTTACTATAACAATTTTTTGGAATCACAATGATTAGAGTGTAATTTGGAAATATCAAGTCCTCAATATACAAGGTCTCTGTATCCACTCTCATGATGAGTGTCGCTTGTCATTTCTTTGGTGAAAATTCTACGAATTCCCAATGCGATAGTAGAACACCATGATTCATCGTCAAACGTAGCTAAATCACTCACTTTGTATATGCTGGTGCATCAGTGAACACCCACAGCTTTGACTATATATAGGTAACTTCTTGTTCGAGGTGTTTGAGCTTGAGCCTCGAGCTACGTAACCAAACAATCGCCGAGAAGCAGCCGAGGTTAATCCGGACCTTACTATTAGCAGGGCTTTGCTCTAGAAACCTCCAGCCTCTTTTCATTCCTCATCTCTCACAAAACTCTACTACCTCCACACAACCAACCTCCCCCTCCCTCCTTCATCTCACGCCTCTCTTTCTCTCTCTCTCTCCCCCTCGCTCACGACCAAACAATCTCCTTCTCTCTCCCACCCACCGACTCGTGCATCTTCTTGCTACTGTATTTGTATTTCGAGCGTTTTTCTCTCCCCCACAAAGCTCACCACGTGCTGAACGTGGCTTTTCACATCGGCGATGTCTGAATTTCTCGGGTATGCTGGACGTGGTCATTGAAGCCTGCCTACGCCCGCTTACGCAGCCATAGGTCTCGCATTTCCCTCATCTCCAAAAGCGATATTCGGTATGTGACTTGCTCAATCGCCTCAGTTGATTGGCGTCGCTGACCTTGCGACAGCTATGTTGGCACTCTACATGAAATCAACTCGGACGAGTCGACAGTATCACTTGAGAATGTGAGGTCATTCGGTACCGAAGGTCGCAAAGGCCGACCTGAAGAAGAGATTGCCTCCTCCGACCAAGTCTACGAGTACATTGTATTCCGAGGCAGCGACGTGAAGGATCTACGAATTGAGGACCATCCCAACATCAAGGAGAACAAGCCTCCAGCTGTGCCCGATGATCCGGCCATCGTTGGCGTAAGTTTATTTTCCTTCCTTCTGAACCCCCCTTCTCCTTCTCCCATATGATGAAATATTTCGGATGTAAAACATTGTCATTGTCGGAAAGCGCAAAAAATAATGTCGAGATTTCCGTTGCCTTCCTTCTGATTGGGATTTCACACTCTGCTGTCATTTTTGCTATTGTGGTTCAAGACACATAAGCTAACAAGCTGCAAGGCTCGAGCTCGCCCTGGAGCCCAAGGGCCTAACCAAAATGCTCCACCAGGAGGACCGGCTGCTTTCGGCCCAGGCCAAGGACCTTACCCACCCAACAACTTCTACGGAGGCCCACCACCAGGAAATTGGGGTCGTGGTGCTCCAGGACCTGGCCCAGGCCCTAACTTTGGGAACATGCCGTATCCTCCTCCTCCTGGCTGGTTCCCTCCTGGTCAGGGATTTCCGGGCGGCCCAGGTGGCCCCAACGGTCCCGGGGGTCCTGGAGGTCCCGCACCTTGGCAGAATGAGTATCATGTTCCATTCGCCGGTCCCGGTGCTCCTGGACCCAACGCACCCGTTGAAGTTGCCGCGAACCAACGAGCCACTTCAGGCTCTGGTCCCTCACAAGATGCGAAGCCAGCTCCTATTGGACCTGGCGCCGATCGAGCCAAGCAAGCCACTCCCAGCGGACAGGCAGCACCTCCCACGGAACCCAAATCGCTGGCTCAAGGCGTGCGACAGCTCTCTCATGCCCCTACACCACCTGTCGAGTCGAAACCTTCGGTTGAGGAAGTCAAGCAGACTGCTGCGAGTCTAGCAGCCAATGGCCAAGCAAAGCCTGAGGACATCAGCAAGGCTACTCCTACTGGACCAAGGAATCACCGGGTCAACCCTGTTATTCCTTTGACGGGTTCTGCTGCCAAGCCCTTCTCTCTACCGGGCGCAGGAGGTGATGCTGCCAGCAAGGCTCCGTCAGCCACTGCACCACCTAATGTTCAGGATGCCACCAACGCTGCTAGGGCTGCGGTCGCTGTTGCTATGGCCCAACTGGGCAACAACAGTGGCAACGCTATGGACAACTTGACGAACAAAGTCAACGAGATGCGGGTCAACGCTGTCCGAGGGGGACCAACCAACAGAGGACGAGGCCGTGGTGGACGTCCTGCTGCCGCCAAGGTCGCTGTTCCCGACTCGGACTTCGACTTCGCCCAGTCTAATGCCAAATTCAACAAGCAAGATGTTGTTAAGGAGGCTATTGCCGGATCTCCTCTGGAGACACCCGAAAACCCTGCTGTCACCGAGCAGCCCGAGATCTCGACTACGACTGACGATGCTGCTGTTGCCTACAACAAGTCGAGATCGTTCTTTGACAACATCTCCAGCGAATCCAGAGAGCGAACCGAAAACGGAGGCCAGAAGCCCGGCGGTCGCGAATGGAGGGGCGAGGAGCAGCGCAAGAACATGGAGACCTTTGGTCAGGGCAGTGTTGATGGTGCTTATCGCAACTACCGTGGTCGAGGCCGTGGTCGTGGTCGGGGCGGTCGTGGCTATGGCCGCGGTGGACGAGGTGGAAACCGTCCTCAGTATCAAAACACGCCTGCTCAGCAATAATCGACCGCGACGTCACCGGCCAGTATAATACGAATTGAGATATGTCAGCTATGTCGAACGGCACTACAAGGCTGGGCGGTACACCACAACGTCGAATATGCTACGAACCGATACAGGTTTCATAATTGCTCGTAACATGTATCACAAATTTCCTACTTTTGGGACGATTGCATTTCTGCTGTTTTACACAAGCGAAACACGGTTCCCTACCGTTCTTGGGGTTTGAACGGGTTTGGGGAATGGGGGGTTTGGCTCTCTATAAGAACGAGGCCTGGAGTTAGGATTGAATTGGAAGCGGGCGGAATTGGAGGCCCTTTCGCATAGCAGGCTACAAAAGGAACTTGTTTTGCCTTTTTTGAATTGCAGAGTTAAAAAAAACACAAAGGACGGCCTGGCACGGCCTGGCGCTGGTGGTTATGAAGACGGAAGCCTAGTTAATGAGGCGACGAAAGCTCATGATGATGCAAATAAAACTAGGAAATGGAGCTTGATACATATCAGAAGCACACACAACTCGGAGAGGAATGAGGCATCTGACATGAATACAACCAATGATTCAAGCTCAAACAAAGTTGACGCACTTCTCTTGTGATGAATGCCGTGACTACTTGCTCAAACTTGACATGAGCATGATACTATTTCGTGAATGTGTTGAGAGAGTTAAAAGCGGTATTTGCTCGTAACTCGACAACGTCGAATAATTACTTTGGACTCTCCTTGACTTTATTGACCAAGTACCTACGTTGTTTGGTTGGTAGCGACGATGTTATGCGTGAACTGTAAGAGCTTAATTTTTTTGCCCACAGCCCCGCACACGTCATAATCCTCTCGTGTCTCTTTGGCCTGACTCATTATCAAAGCCTCAAGTTCTGAAGCGTAATATCTCCCGACAACATTAAAGCGAACCAACAGCTGTATAAATATACCCTCTGACCCCTGTTCAATCCTCTTCATTCTTCCTTCTTCAAATATCTCAATCGTCACTGCCACGGCTCACATTCATTCGCTCACCCTATACCAAACTGAAAAAAACACTCGTGACACCCACATCTTCACTCACAATGTCGACTCGACAACTTCGCAAGCTGCAGAAGCAGCGAGAGCTAGAGGAAATTCAAATCCTGACAGAAAAGAGCTCGGGTGAGAGCGATAAAGAGAATGAGCCTATCGCCCCAAAGCCTCGCGTGAGCCTCTTCGCAGCTTTGGGTGGTGACGATGACGACGAACCACAAGATGAGGATGAGGACCAGCAACAACCTGAGGAGGATGTGACCGAAATCAGGCAACCATCCACTACAGGGAAGAGCAAGAAAAAGAAGAACAAAAAGAAGAAGTCCAAGGCCAAGGCTGCAGCTCCCGAGGAGGATGAGGATGAGATCGACAAGGCCATGAGAGAACTCAACATCAAGGCATCAACTCCTGCAAACACATCTACCTCAGAGAACACAGCAGCCCAGACCCGAAGAATCAACGAGCTTCTCTCAATCAACCCATATCACCTCAAGGCCAACAATGAAATGCGCAGCCTCTTTGGTCGAGACGTCATCGAGTCCGCCGCAGCAGAGGAAGCACAAGAACGCAATAGTCGCCCCATGCAGCGAGAAATCGACCTCGAAACTTACCTGCGAGGGCCTCCTGGAGCCCCGAAACTTCCAGAGGTTTCTTTGCGTCGAAATGTGTTCATCCAAGGACGCGAGCACTGGCCAAAACAAAGTGCTGGTGGCTTGACCATGAGGGAGGTGGCAAAAGCCGAAGATGGGTCATTCACGGAGTATGCTTACGCGCACTCTCAAAGTTACGACGCTCTGCAAGCTTTCTTCTTCACATGCGTGGAGATAGGAGACCCTCAGCGAATGATCATTCTCCTCAAGGAAGCACCCTATCATGTCTCGACACTCCTACAGGTCAGCTCTATTGCTAAGCAAGACCAGAACCAGGCTCTCGCAGCTGAGCTCTGTGAACGGGCTCTCTTCACTTTTGGTCGTGTGACCACAAACGCCTTCCGTCAGAACATCGAGCAAGGCAAAGCACGTCTTGACTTCCGCCGTCCAGAAAACAGGCAGTTCTGGTTGGCTGGATATCACTACCTCAAAAGCCTCGTGCGAAAGGGCACCAATCGCACTGCCCTGGAGTGGGCTAAGCTCATGTACTCTTTGCATCCAAGTGGTGATCCTTATGCCATGAGACACTTCATCCATTGGCTGGCCATTCGTGCCCATGAGTCTCAGTGGTTGATCGATTTTGTAGAGGAGTTGGAGAAGACGACAGATAACCGAGACTCGGTCTACCTTCGACAGACGTTGGTATTGGCACACTTGCAACTGGGCAATACTGCTCGTGCAACTGAAGAGCTCGAGAAGGGCATGCGACGTGTCCCCTGGCTGTACTGTGCATTGTTCCAGGAGTTGAACCTTGACACACCTCCATCTATCTGGGGCATAAACGCCGATTCAGACTCGCGTTCGTTCTGGGTCAAGCTCTACATCCACCAAGCCAAGGATATCTGGAACAACGCACAAGCTATCCCTCTCCTTGAAAAGACAGCCAAGAGCCTCGAAAAGGTTGATACAAGTGTGCTTCCCAGCAGTGACTCTCCTCCTGATCAAGGCGTCACAAGGCTTGTATGTCTTGAGGGTCAGACATCACTTATAGGTCTGGCGCCACGAGAGTACTTAGAAATTCAACCGAACTACGAATTCGACCCTCTACCACCCCCTGAGGAGGAAAACATCTTTTCAGGCGAAGGCACAAGGATGCCTTTTGCTAACCGACAACGAGCTCAACCAAGTGCAGTCGAAACACGCTTGAACAACATGTTTGACCGCCTTGCGGCAATTGGTCAGGGTGGTGCACCTGGCGGTGATGAAGATGATGAAGAGGACGCTCACCTTGCGGCCGTGCAGGCACTAGACGATGAAGAACTGATGAGGGATCTTGAAGAGCACGAACGTGGAGCAGATGCTCAAGGATTTGTCGAACGAATGATGCAAGTCCTTGGCATAATAGCCGGGCCGAATGCTGATGGCCACGATATGCCAGATGAGGCTGATGACGATCAGGAGCACGAGCACGAGCCTGAGCCTGATCAGGATGAGGATCAGGAGAGAGGGCCCAGCAGTGATCTTCCAGGGGCTTGGCCCGAGAGTCAGTGAGGCTGACTATTCGCTGGCTAATAATGGAACATGGGGTTCATGACGATGGTGCAGAAGTACGGAGTAGAGGATCCATCAAAAGTTGCTAGACGCTCTTGGCTGAGCAATCTCTTATTCCCGTGGGAAGAAAGAACACAAACCAGTTTTGTTTATTGGGCTGAAGGAGTGTTCAATAGTCTCTGACTAGTTGTACCATTATGCATTAGACAAATTGCAAATTGCATTAAACTGTTTCGTTATATCAATTGAGCAAGTTTCAACGCCATCCAACTTGCTAGAGCGGTACCGGAGATGAAGTCTTCTAGAAAGGGCGGCAGAAGTTAATGAACCCTACTAAGCTGTAGCCAATTAAACTGTAGAAACGTGGTAAAATAAACATGCACTTTGACAAGGGTTGTTGTAAATTTTCGAGTGATTGTTCGGACTTTGAGAGGCATAGCAAGACTTATGCTGTGTTGACGATTTGTATAAGCTTTCACAAGTCTGCCAGCTTCCTATCTCGCTCATAAAAAAAAGTCGGTATTGATCCAAGGTCGTCTAGCTGAGGAAAGAAAACACAAGATCTTGGTCCTGAATGACAAAAAGACTTAGGTAACATAGCCTAAGCTTAGCATAACCTTTACTGAGTTTATTTTGAGACCCCCTAAGGTTCGCTGTTTTCTTGCCCCCCGAGGGTCGTACAAGGATTCCGGAGTGTCTGTCTCTTGCGGCCGTAGCGTGCCTTTTCAGCCCTGTCTAGTGCATGGCAGTCATCCTGGACTAATAAAGACAGCAGTTCGCAGAGCGGCTAGGACTTGTTGAGCGAACAGTCCATTCCAGCTATGCTGCATTGAGAGATTGCATTTATCACAGTAAATCGCGGCATTTTGGTCCACGAGAGACCTGGATGTGAATCGACATCGATTGGCGTTGCTGAGCCAAAGTGCCAACATGGATCAACCAGGAGTGCGCAGCTGATGGACAGTGAACAATAATAGCAATAGAAGGTGCCCATGTCTTGGCCTGGGCGTATTAGCGTTTGTCGAGAACGATCCGAGGAACGAATAATGACAATGGGAATTTTCCTCGGAGCCGAGAAACCCGACACCTAAATCAGAAGCACGGAGCACACCGTCGGCCGACTGGAGTTACTTGTCGTAGCAGTTCAGGCGCATGCGGCGCATGTAAAATTCATGGCTGATGATTCGGAGCACATGATACACCAGGTATGGTCCAAGTCAGACTGCGGCTCGCGACTCGACTCGGTCTGGGACTTTGGACTCCAGACTCTGGGGACGTCAACCAGGGTGAAACATGGTGGAGAATGGTTCTAGCCTTAAGGAGCCAATTGGGCCATTTTGTCCGAGCATGTTAATGCCAATGAGAAGCCAAAAGACAACTATGGTAACTGGCGGAGAACCAGCAATGGGCTGTCGTTCCACGCAGGCGCTTGTATCTAGTCAAGCAGCTCGATTCAGACCTTATGAGAGCGAAAGGCCGAACATCATTTATCGGAAACCAAATCCTTGCCATTACGCTCTTTTTCTGTAATTCGAGACTCGCAATAATTGAGGCTTAGATAATGACGCTTGTGCTAAACATATCTCACGACCCCATAATAAAGGTAAAAGTGAGACTGAGATGTCTTGTGTAAGTCGATGGCCCGGGGATTGAATGGAAATGCTTGCGAAAAGCACGGGTTTGCGTGTGCGGAGGAGACTGGGGATTCGATGGAGCACAGTAGTCGGCCGAAAGGATTATTTTTGAATCCGTGGTGAACCCGCTGATGGGCGATGGGCCAAGCAAAACCGTGCTGTGCCTGTGGTGTAAGTCAAGTGTCACGATCGGCATAGTTACATATGCAGATCT